CTGATTGATGGCGTCGCGAATTTCGGAGATCTGCGACACCATATAACGATGTCCTATGGTAACGTAACAGCATGACACAATCAGTGGCGTAGGGTTTTTGTGCCACTCCGTTTTGCTGCGGTGTTTCCGGTCAAGGGATTACACAATCAGTCATTCAAAACAACTTGTCAGCAATCAGAAAGCTCTCTTCTGTCTCACCGTAAAGCAGTGAAAGGACAGGTTGGCGGGCGTTCATGAATCTATATTTCGAGTGGTCTTACAATGACGAAACACTAAACGACAAAAAGGACAACACAAAACATCTTTAATGTCGTGTACTTAGCACACGGTGAGTAAAGGGAGAGGCAGGGTGAGGAGAGGTCTGAAATATAAAGTATGATGAAATCTCAAGACGTAAATCCATTTTTCCGATTATACGCTATTGTCCGCCTACGACATCACCTCTCCGTATTCAGGAAGTTTTGCCGCGGGGCCTATGAACTAATTAGCAAGGTACAAATGACGCTCTTAGCTGGGCTACGTGTGAGAACGGCGAAGGAATGACTAAGTGGGTAGTGGTGCAGTTCACAGAACTTCTTTTCGATAAGATGCGGGGAGCGGGGCCGCACGTCACTTCAGGCCGTATGTATAGGTTTGGTAAGCCGCCATTTCGAGTAAACATGGCGTTATCTAATACACTACTGCTTGAACTGCAGTTGAAATTTGCAAGAATTACGTATTGATCACACACATGTACCGTTTGAATTTCTGTACTGCACTAGATAGAAAGTTTGTTTTACGCATTTATAACGTGAAGTGTACTGATATTTTTTTTTTCTTTGGCCCACCCCTGTAAAAGCCTGGCGACTAACAGTATAAGTTGAAATAATCAAACTCGGTCAGTGGGCGTTGTTTCCGATGCGTCCCCGTTAGTCGGGAGTTCGTAATAAATTAAGGCACGGCCACGACAGCGTGTGACCAAGTCTGTGTACATAGCCGATATTAACTTCTAAACATTCCCCGCGGTGGCGATAGCCTGCAGGCTTCGGAATACTTGATGCGCGCACATGTGGGTCACTGATAAAACGTTATCTTTCGCGGCGTTCATTTGCAACCAACGCATGACAGTCCCGACATATCGATCGGTAAACTCGCACGCACATATCTGTTCGCTATACTCGTATGCTGCCACATCATGAGAGGGTTAACTGAAACGCGAGAGAGCTTTCGTATTGGAACAGCGAAAAAGACGAAGTACACAGAAAGACTTGACTTGCGTTCCAATAGAACTTAAATCGACTCGACCAAATATTCCTTTTACATGAGAAAGCCCCCTGCCCTGCGTTGGGCGTAGTCAGCCTGATGATGACGATGCGCAGAGCTATTTTGCCATGGCTATAGTGTACAATAACTCAAACGATCGCAAGAAAGCTGCGGCTTAACATGCACGGCAGACGCACAAGCGGACAGTACCAAAGTTAATTCCAACATTAAAGGGGCACTGACACAACAACTTTTGCCACGAGTTTACTTTTTTCTGCAATTTGTTCCTGGGGCCTGTTAGTCCATAACACGACACAACATTTTTTGCAGCACGCGGCAGATAATTAGTTGGAAACTCGTTATTACTGACCAGTGTCAGTCTCTATTTCAAAAACAACGAGCCACTGGGTGCAACTACCACCGCCTAGCGGGTGCAAAGATCGACCATGTCAGAACAAAGAGCTGTGACGCACTTCCGTGCGGTTCGCCTCAAGAAGCTTTTTTAAATAGGACACCATTGTCATTAAACACAAAACTTTCAGCTCATGCGCCGCGGCCACGGACTCGCAAGCAGCTGCCGAAAAGTGTTCAGACGGAGCAAACGCCACGACAGATAAATGGCGGCTATGACGTCGTCACAACTTGCTGCAGCATGGTCACGTGAGGGACGTACGGGATCCCCAAGGGTGCCCTTTGAGTGTGTAAACCTCATATTTATTTTGAAGTACCTTACAAGCTATATTTGCTGTTGATATTTTGCAGATGATATATGCATATTCACTGGAATCGATCCCGCAGGCAATCACGCCCTCGAAATTCTGTGTCACTAGCTCTTTAAGCTAGGCGGCGAGGGTCGCTGTATTGGTCGATGATGGCTCCTGATTATAATTGTGGCCATGTTTTTGTGCGCCAGAATATATCTCCTGGCACTTATACAGGCTGTTTCAGCTACGTTGGGTGAAGTACTAAATAAACAAACGTCGACATGTGCTACGCTGGTAGAATTGGCATTGTATTTTCGTTATTAATATGCAGTACGACATGATATTTCTTTAGATCCACCAATATCCATTAATTACCAAAGGCTGTTTAACTATATACGACTTTCAAAAAGGTAATTCTCATTCGGTATATCTTCCGATACAGTAGTAACACTTAAAAAACGCTGAAATATTTGACCTGTACGATGATAACTACACTGTTGAATTTTTAACAGCCGTTCATCACAATACGCGAGATTATATTTCAAAAGGTTGGCGCAAACTAGATGGGTGATTCCACGTAAGATAGAACAACGCATGGCCGGTCGAACACCTAAATTTCTTTTAAAATTTTATATATTGTTACCTGATGAGTGGAAAGAAGACACCCGCATTTGGTTTTGCCGGAAAAAATTCTTTTTTCGAGGCACAGATAATCAATGATGACGATGAGGTGGGGTGCCGCACTTACACTATCTGTGTTTTTTTTCGCTTTGGCGATGAAATGCAAGAAATATATTGAAGCCATGTATTTCAAATTTGTTTAGCTAAATATATGCGTATTTGTGCTCACCTTCAGTTATTTTTCAATTCTCTGGGTAGTGCACATGGGTATTCATTACAATATATAAAATTTTTGAAAGAAGTTCAAGAGGTAGACCGGCCAGGCCATGCTCTGTTCGATCTTACGTGGAATCACTCAGCTTGTATACATTAAAACTTTCGTCCCACAGCTGGCTGTGCCTATGCAGCTTACACCATGGCTTACACACCTACCTAACGGAGGACGTCAGTGTCGAAACTGCTCACTGCAGCAGATCGCCAGAGCAACAATAACAGTCTACTGTAAACAGGGCGTTTAATTAAAACAAATAACACGAATCCACGTTTATAAGAAGCCGGTTTCACACCCCAACGGACCATGAATTGAGCGAATCGAAGCGTTAAGAGTGGGCCGATGAAAAACAAACAGATCGCTGACCTCAACGTCCGCCCTAATCACCAAGAAAGCGCGAAAAGTGTCAAGGAAGAAAGTGAGTGCCACGGGCATGCGCGAAAAGATTAGCACGAAAAACTGGCTCCGCTATCAGTAACTATGCAGAAAACCTGTATTGGCGTAGCGGCAGAGTTTTATGTAGCCAAGTCGCGGGTTCGATTTCCACACCACGGCAGTCGTATTTCAACGGGAATGAAAAGCACGAAAGCGTTAGTGCGTTTGGATTAATATTACCTTAGAGGATCCTACGATGTCAATTTTATTTGGGAAAGCGTTCTTTTGCAACGTTAAACGCCGTCAGTTAAATTCAACGATCACCTGTTAGTGGCAGACAGAGGATCGATAGGTACGATTTCAGTATTGCGACTTTATTCGCGCTAATTGGCTGGCCGTGAGCGACCACACATATCATTTGACTGGGTGCAGCACAGCTCCTCCCAGTGTAATATACAGCGAGTGATTAAAGCGCCACGATATTATTGAGCAACTCGGCAACGACAAGAAACTAAGTCTGCAGCGGTCGGCCCTAGTGCATAACGATTGTCAGATAAAAAAAAACCCGAGCGACACACAAATGCCGCTGTGAAAAAACAAATCATAGAAACAGCTGCAAACATATTTCACTCGGCTGCCAGTTTTATGGAGGGCAGAAAGCTACGACAACAGATGGGCACGCTCATTCCGTTGTTATTGCAGAGCTTCCTAGAAAAAAGGAGCAGTGCGCCGCGACGCACAGCGCGATACGTTATTAAAGTTACCGCCAAAGAACATCGGACGTCCCGTGAAAGTCCTGATGCGAGATCAGGCTGAAAAACTGCGCACAAATGTGCCGAAACTGATGACGCCGACAGGAACGCAGTGCGCATGTTAATGAGTTTACTTCCCGTGACAAGTCCGCGCAGCTTCTGAACATCGTGAACATGACCGGAACGCAGAATACTGACATACACACGAAGAACAAAATACGAGTAACAAGAGTGCAACGGAAGCTCAGTCACTACAACTGTCGTTCAGCGGCGCGCTATTTTTGAGTCAAGGCGAACGGTGCATTCAACTTTCCACCGACGTGAAGGCGCACTTGGGAGGGGGATCGGGATAACTGGAATCCCATTTACGGGTATGCTTCTTTAAGCTCCCCCAGCTCAAGCAACATCTCCCCGAACGTTTTTACGGGTCGAGTAAGCGGTGAGAAAAAAAAAAAACGCAGACAGCTGCTGGCAGGGAGGCAAGTCGTCACCGCGTAAATATAGCGCGCGCCAGCACATAGTAAACTTTCCGCTGCTTATTCGAACACGGCCAGTATGAGTCAGAGGGCAACGGGCAGGGTTATTACACAACGCGGCTCATCTGCCGACGAGCTCGCCGCATATTGATGACAAAGCGAGAGTTTTTCCACCCACGCAAGTGACTCACTCACTGTGGTACCGGCCCGCGTCGGATCGTTACAAACAGCGCGATCGACGACAACGAAACAGCCAAGGCAAAAAGTTGACAGGAGCTGCAGAACACGGCGGAAACAAATACTTGTCAGCGCAAACGTTAGACGTCAGCTCCAAAGTTTCATCTGAAAGGTGCAAAACCTATTACACACAGAACACTCCCGGCTTTATACAACCAATGCGGCACACTACGGCTTTGGCACTAGTAAACACACTCCGAAGTTCCCCGTTCGCGTGCAGGCAGCAAGCTACCGGCCGATTTGAAAACGGTGCGTGCGGCCGCCTCGTCCGTCCGGCGACGGGAATGCGCGCGACTTTAATCGTTGCTCTTCAGCTACTCACCTTACTTTGAGGTTATCCAAAAACGCATCAGTGGTGATGTTCTCGAGTAGCACAGAATCCCCGATCCCGACGTCGTCGAAACCGGCCATCGCGCATTTCACGTTGGCCGCCGCCAACAACACTCACACACACACGCGCTGTTTTTGAATTCAACGTCGCCGCCCCAGAGACGACCGCAAGACCTCGCACAACAGGCTACGGATTACGCCGCGCACAACTCGACTTAGTGAATCCGCTCAGCCAGCGCAGTAGAGCGGGTCAGGCAGGACAAGCGACGCCAGGCGGCGCCGCGAACGATAGCAGCCAGCACCACCCGTCGACGAACACGGCAAACGAACGGGGAAGAATGAAACCGAACGTGAGAGCGCGCGTACGGGCTGGCTGGGGGGGCATCGCTAGGCGTCTTCGCGTTTTCTTTCGTTCTTTCTGTTCCCCGTAGATCGTCCTTGTGCTTTTTTTCCGCTCGCTTCTTAGAAAGGGCAGGCACTCTCTTCGCTCGCCTTCACCGTGCTTCGAGCGGCCGTGGTGGTTCTCAGCCCTCTTTCCCATCTCCTTTCGCTGCCTCTCGACTGAACGGTCGCAAAACGAGCTGTGATAGTCGCTACTTTGTAGAGCGGCAGTGCCCCGCCCCACGAGGGGTTCTCGCAACTTATCCGTCTAACAAGTGCAGATCGGAACCGCACAGTTCATTTAATCAACAAAGCGGCCTTTACGACTTTCACTGAAAGACCGCGATGCGGCGGCCGGAGCACTTGCTGCCCCGACGGCTCAACGCGGTTCGTAGCCCATCCGCGGCTTCTATAACGTGTACCCAGTCGGCATTTTCTTTTACTTGTTTAGTTGCGCCCGTTTTATTCCTCTCGGCAGTCCCTCGAAACGACCGACGGAGTCAGCAACTGGCGCCGCACAACTACTCGCTGACGTTTCAGTGTGTCATCGCGTGACGGATATGCTTCGCGCGTTTTGTTGTTTTTATTACACGACCCTGTCTCGACCACTTCAACGATTGTCGACAGCACTTAGTCGGCGAAATTGGAACGAACTGGGGATGCGTGTGCAGCACTGCATGTTGCTGTCAGGGAGGATGTCTCCCTCGTTTAGAACTTTGTTGCTGCCGCGACAGACCTCGATTGTGCTTGAGACGCGAAGTATGAACTCTTTCTTTTTTTTTTGCTAATTTTTCTACTACAATAAAATGCTACTGTATCGGTGTCACTGGTATCTGTGTCATGTCAGCGGAATAAACTGAGAAGACGTATCGCCGGCAAGCGTGTGCTGCGACGCATTTGGAAACTTTCAAACTATTCAGGCAGCCAGGAGGGAGAGGCTTTATTTTATTATCCGTTCTCTCCGCAGAGAAATCTTTCAGTTTTGGATGCGTATGTAGGCAAGTACACATACAAACACACGCACAGTCATCATACATAAGAATGCCTGACCCCACCCCTTCTCACCTTTGCATTTCTGAGAAATTTTGGGCTGTGCCCTGTTTTACACTGTACAATGATAATTGGCATGCCATTTTTTTATGTCTGGGTTTCCTAGCGCTTTCCAGTTTAAACCACAGCGTTTCGTTGACAAGCATACAATAATGAGGCGTCGGAGTGCAAAACATGTTCAGTCAGCTGCGATAACCTTCGCAACAAGGTCCCACAACATTCGCGGGTTCCTGTATTCTGTTCAACGTTTCTGAATTAAGGGGACACTTTCTGAGTCACACAGTCAACTACCAACTGAAATAACGAATTCAGCGCCATACATACAACCTCAGTAAAAATTACGTTTTTTTATGTTCTCATATTCTCAAGACTGCGTATACCTCTTGTTATTATTATTAATTTTTGAGCGAATTGCTGTTGACGATGCTTACGAGTATTTCATCGATGCATGAACGCTGCTATAGAGGTGGAAAATCGCAAGTGTCGAATGAAGAGCTTCTAGAGAATGTGTTTCTTATTTTCAACTTTCTTTCTTTCGATTTTCGCCCACAAAGTCTGCCAGGAATGATCAGTGCAAACTGCGCCTCATTGTTCGAGAAGGTTCGCGATCATTGTAGATCGTTCTGCTAAGATTGCGTGCCAGACGCGAACACTCGATATTATTCCAGAGCTCACGCAACAACCAGTGATAAGGCTGGAATATTCGACGGCGCATGTATTATTACCGACATACTTCGCCGCTTGTCAGTTGATCGACGGCCGACGCTCTGTGCACCGCTATCAGTACCAATGTGTTGCTGTAATCTGACTTCCCATTCACCGGCCACAAGCTCGGCCAAATGAACAGTTTTACTTGAACATCGAGTCTGCTCCATTCATCCACGTCGCGACCCCGTGACATCTGGTGGAGGTGCTGCTTCTTTCATGTTCCGGGCACCCCCGTCAAGCCGTGAACCTAGCTCAAGTGGCAAAGGAGACACCGACGCCAACCCCGAACAGTGACTAAGCCGCAGGCAGAGGGTACTGCAGCCAGAGTACGGGCCCCTTCCTGCAACAACCAGGCAGCCCCGGATCCCGACATCGACAGCAGCAACGATGACCACTACACCCCGTGCAGCCTGCCACAATCGTTCTTCGGCAGACCAAGGGGCCGCCAACTTTCCGTGGATTGTCAATCGAGGACCCGGAAAGCTGGATCGAGACGCACGACCAAGTCGCCGCCTTGAACAGCTTGGACCCCGAAGAACTACGCCGCGTATACCTACAATGCCACGCGTATTTTCCCTTTTGTTTCTTTATGGCCACGCCTTACCGCCGACGTCACTCATTACTTGAGGAAGTGCCAGGACTGTCAGCGGCGCAAGACGCCACCGACAAGGCCTGCAGGACTGCTGCAGCCCATCGAACCACCTGGCCGACCACTCTAGCAAATCGGTATCTATACTTACTTGGGCCGTTCCCAACTTCGGCTTCCGGAAACAAATGTTTCATCGTACAGCTACCGACTACCGTAGTACGTTACTTTTGTTTCTTTCGGTTTTCGCCAACAAAGTCTGCCAGGAATGCTCAGCGCAAACTACGCCTCATTGTTCTAGAAGGTTCGCGATCATTGTAGATTGTTCTGCTAAGATTACGTGCAAGACGCACACTGCAACCAAACTACCTTCTCGGCGCAGTTTCTCAAGTACTTCTTCAATTCTACCTTGAATAGGCCTAAGCTTTGCGGCTCTAGTTCGGTGCAGTTGTTAAGACGGTGAGCAGAGCCCATTGTTGATTCAGGCTTCACACAACCTAACGGTCCCTACGACTGTGTGCTTCCTCTCTCCCGCTTGCTTTAGTAACATGTTTTCACTACCAAACCTCTCCCTCCTGGTGAACCTATGGTCTTGAGGGTAGCGAATAAGACAAGTGTATCGCGCATATACGCATGCTGCCATATAGGTATTATATCCACTATTCTTCCTCGGACGTCGTTTCCATGTCAAATGTAACTAGAAAAGAAATTCAATTTTCTTGGCACAGCACAGTTAATCAATGAAAAAAGAACTGCAAAGACATTACTTTACAAATCTGTTTTCAGCAATTGGGTTGAAAGGGTCTAACCACCAGCTATGAACATTTACTGGTATCGAACTTATAGACTGAAAGTCGGTCTCAGTGCACCGTCAAACAGTTCATAATGCCTCCCGTAAATTGTTAGGCGTATCCATATGGCGAAAAATGGGTTCTGTAAATAGGCTGTATGAAGGGTCCATTATAATATGTGGTTTCTTACGCGCCAGAACCACGCGATGTGGATCACCGTTGTGGAAGGCAATGGAAATTTCAAATTTCGGCCATCTGGGGTACACCTAAATCCAAGTATACTGGTCTCTTGCATTTCTCCTTCATCGAAAATGTGACCATACTATCAATCAGGTAGAGAAGTCCTCAGAGTATAACCAACATAGCCTTCATAGATTACGAGAAGGCGTTTGGTTCAGTAGAAATATCAGCCGTCATGCAGACACTGCGTAATCAGGGCGTCGATGAAGTATATATAAGCATCCTGGAAGAAGTCTACAGGGGATGAACTGCTACCATAGTGCTTCATAAAGAAAGCAGTAAAGCAGGGAGACACAATCTGCCCCGTGCTGTTTACCGCGTGCTTACAGGAGGTTTTCAAAAGCCTAGAATGGGAACAGTTAGGGATACTGAGAGTTAATGGAGAGTACCTTAGTAACCTGCGCTTCGCCGATGACTTTGCAATGCTGAGTAACTCTGGGGACGAATTTCAACTCATGATTACGGAGTTAGACAAGGAGAGCAGAAAGGTGGGTCTTAAAATTAATCTGCAGGAAACGAAAGTAATGTACAACAACCTCGGAAGAGAGCAGCGCTTCGAGATAGGTAATAGTGCACTTCAAATTTTAAAAGACTATGGCTACTTAGGGCTGGTGATAACCGCGGAGCCGAACCACGAGATTGAAGTAACTAGAAGAATAAGACTGGGGTGGAGCACATTTGGCAAGCACTCTCAAATTATGACAGGTAGATCGCCACTATCCCTCAAAAGGAAGGTATATAACAGCTGTATCTTGCCGGTACTTAGCTATGGAGCAGAAACCTGGAGACTTACAAAGAGGGTTCAGCTTAAATTGAGGACGATGCAGCGAGCAATGGAAAGAAATATGGTAGGTGTAATCTTAAGAGACAAGAAGAGAGCAGGGTGGATTAGGGAACAAACGGGGATTAAGGATATCATAGTTGAAATCAAGAAGAAGAAATGGACATGGACCGGGCATGTAGCGCGTAGACAGGATAACCGCTGGTCATTAAGGCTAACTAACTGGATTCCCAGAGAAGGCAAGCGGGTTAGGGGGAAACAGAAGGTTAGGTGCACGGGCAGATGAGATTAAGAAGTTTGCGGGTATAAATTGGCAGCAGTAAGCACAGGACCGGGTTAACTGGCGAAACACGGGAGAGGCCTTTGTCCTGCAGTGGACGTAGTCAAGCTGATGATGATGATGATGATGGAAATGTGACCGTCGTGGCCCGGATCGAATACGCTGCCTTCGTGTCAGCGTCCAAGCATGGGCAGTTCTTAGTTAGAAGGTAGCGTACGTATTATTTTCGTCATGGCCGATGCCGCGGTTGTCCAGGATGTTGTTCGTGTGTTTGGCCATACTCCTCGTCCTGTGTTTATAGCGCCACCTAAAATTTTTTGCATCGCGAGACGCTTGAACACAGCTTCTTTGTGACTGACCTCGACAGAGCGTAGAGACAATCACTCGCCGGCTGCCCTGACGACAG